GGACATCTTGTCTCGCAGTTGGCCAGGGCACGAGAGAGCGCGTACTCGCTCTTGGCAACAATAAACGCCGCGCGCAGGGCGCAGGGCGCAGGGCACAACGGACACAAGGCGCAACGGGCACAAGGCGCAACATGCAATTTGAGACTGTCTTAAAGCTCCCTCTACCCTCAATTGGCCCCAGCTACACTCGCGATCCAATAGAGGCAATCGTCAACAAGGGTCGCCCTGCAACGGGCAAGGCACAGCGCGCTTGCCAGCAGCGCCGCTATCGCGATGGTCTTCCAGAAGGAAAACAAGAACTCAATGACCAAGGCCGTGCCCTCAGGCCTCTTCTTGCTCTCGGTCGACCATGTAGAGACAGCAACAGAGACAGACACACAGACACACAAAAAGAGAAGAAAGAGAGAGAAGAGAGAAGAGGGAGAAGAGAGAAGAGGAAAGAGAGAGAGAGAATCAATTCGAATTCAAAGCTTTCAAAACATCAAGCAGCTTTTGGCTGTCGGGCGCTGCTGTGGCTTCCCCTCTCACACAATGCTCCATCGCCTCGATCAGCCTTGGCAGGCCCTTACGCGCGTCCTGCTCGTGCACCGTCGGATGCGCCGCCCTGTTACCATCACTGCGCACACTATTCAATGCATTGAAAAAGTCGTCCAAATTACCCAGTCGTGGGAGCACGTCAGCATACGCTTGGACTGCCCACTCCTGAAGGCCCGGCTTCCACTTGTAAAACAAGGTGTGGAAATCTTCTGTGTCTGCTGGACACCCCTTCTGCGGAACACGACCTCGGAAGCCATCGTCTTGCGCCACCTGTGGGGTGGCCCAGTCCATGTACTTGAACAGCAGAGGAAGCAGGTGGATGTCATCGTCACACTGCCATGAACAGGAGTCACTCGGCCAAAAGCGCTCGCGCACGATTGTGGCGAGCTTGATGATGATTTGGCGCTTCAAGATGGGATACTTCAGCGTTTGCCGGATCGTTTGAAGCTCCGCCTGCACCTCCTCCATCTGTTGTGCGTGTTTGGTTTGCATTTGCTCGATCTGTTCCTCTTGTCGCTTGTTGACGGCTTGTTGTTCCTCCATCTGTCGCGCGTGTTTGGTTTCCATTTCTTGCAACTTACCGAGCATCTCGGCTCGAAAGGCAGCAGCAAACGGAAACTTGTCCAGCTCGCCTTCAATTGAATTCAGGCGATTCTCAGACCCGTCCATTTGAGCATGGGCCTCTTTGACCTTGGACCTTCTGCTCCAAGCATTCGTGTCACCGCTGGCGTCTGTCAAGGCGTGTTTAACACCAGACAACACCTGGTGCTCATTCCTCGGCTTCGAGCGCACGTTCTCGGATTTATTCTTGTAGGGCTCGTAGAGCGCGTGCTGCTTCTCCTCCAGCTCGCTACACTTGGCATCTACAACAAAGGCACGATCGGTGAGGTCTGCCCGCTAAATGGCCCGTGCTGCAGATACAAAGCCATTCAACTTACCAAGGTCGCGACACTTGACGAGGTGGGGAGTAACATCCCACCAAGTCATGTTGTTGGTCCGAGGACACCACGGCTCACAAACACACCGGGAGCGGCTCTTCAGCCCCGATTGCAAGAGGAGAGGTGAATGGAAGGAAAATGCAGTAACCCGTAAAAGAATGGCCACGTTCGGTTCCAAAGCACGAGGAAGCCGTCGGGAACGGGCGGACGCAAAAAGGCGACAAAGGAAACACCAAAAAAGGAACAGAGACAAAGAAAAGAGTAAACCAAACGAAAAATAAAAAATAAAAAACCTTCAAGAGGCTTGTTCTTGGCAAAAAGGTTCCCGTGACCGTGGCGGCCCGAAGAGAGCGTCAACAAGGCAGCACAAAAGGCAAATCGAGAAGAGATGGCAGTGTGGTGGGATGGCACAACAGAAACACAACGAGCCGCTCCCCAAACGCCTCACAGACTACCGAAGCGACCGAGTTCCAAAAAGAACATCGAGTAAGGGGAAAAGAAAAAAAAAAAAAAAAGAACGAGGAAGGTCGAGAACCGGGCGCAACCCCGTTGAAGGTGCCATGGCCTTGGGCGCCCCCTACATTCTGTATTGGGAAGTGTACGGCAACGAGAGCTGATCAAGTCATTCTCAAGCACAGAGACCATCTCCCCCACCCGAGGCGGATCGTCCGGTCGCTGCACCCCAGCCAGCGGACCGGTCTTTAATGCATCGGCCCTTCGAGGTACGGCTTTCCTCTTGGCCCTGACCACCTCCCCACCTCCCCTCCTCCCATCCCTTGCCCTGCCCTGCCCTGCTCCAACGTAAACAGCAGACACGCACACAACAAACAAGCACAGGTGGCTCTTGGTGGCGAGGCAACACCCTTCTCAACAGTCCTTCATCATCGCCCCATCTCCACAGGCTTTTGGCTCCGGCCACCCGACGCCACAGCGGCGTGGGCGTGGACCTATCTACAAGCCTGGTTCGGATGATCGGGCCCCGACAAAACTCCGCCCAAGTTGTAACCACACTCACACATCAATTCAGTCGTGCCTTTAAACCCCTTAAAAAGTCACCCCTCCCACTCACCTAGCTCTCCTCCGGCGTGGCAGACAACCAGCAGGCTTGACACCTGGCCCACTCAGAGCCTCAATGCAAATACCAACAGTACCTCTCAAACCATCTACGCGACACCCCCATGGCTCGCCAAAGCCGCCTCCTTGGCCACTGTCTCAGGGTCATAGCAACACCTGACGCAGTGCCCGCGAAAGAACAAGGTGGCCGCGAAATATAGCACAAAGCACCCAGATGCTCCCCACGCCAACAATTGAAACAGCTACAGGTCATTAAAGTACAGCAGAGAGTCACGGCCCAGGTCGCAGCCGCGCACACGCGCATCAACATGAGAGCTAAAACAAACAAAGGCAACGCCGAGCTTTCCAACCACAGGCAACTGACAGCCGCCAAACTCACAATCTCAATCTCAATGCCATACAGGCGCTCAGTGGAGAAGGGCAAGGCCAACAGATAGAGCAGAATGGCAAGGTAGATGGCCATGCTAGGCATCAACAACATCGGCCCGAGACGCTTGAAAAAAAGCCCAATGTGCCTAGCACCATCAACCACGTTGTCCCACCCATGCATTACGGCATGAAGCACAAGAAAAGGAGAGCAAACGCCCACAACAACAACAACAACGACAACAACGACAACGCCTGTTCCGCCGATGCACATTGCACCCAGCCTTCTTGGTTGTCTCAACTTACGTCAGTGGGATGAGGGAAATATTCATCTGGTACACTGTCGCCAGAAAGGTGGCCGCCAAGCTGCAGCAAAGCGACGAAAAGATACAGACGACATACATGCGCGAAAACTCCAGCGAGATGGCGCTTCCAGTGCCAGATGGTGCCAACCCCTAGCAACCCACACAGGTACCGCGGGGTTTAGCTGTAACGTTCCTAATGCCATTCCCAGTGCCCTGCTCCGCCTCCCTGCCGACCAAGAAGCACTCGCCTTTTGCAGGGTCAGAAACGAGGCACCTGTCATCATGCAGGGCTCCAACAAGAGAGATGCCCGACCAGACGCCGTCCACCGACCAGACGCCCTCCACGCGGTCATAGACCGCGCTGGGGTCGTCAACATTGTACGTGAGCGGCCGTCGCCACGCCTGCACGAAATAAATTCAGTGCATGGGCCGACAGCACGACCCCAAGCATCAGCCTGGCCCAGAGTATGTCGGCGCTCTACATGCCCATGTACGTCAACAAGGGGACATCTTGTCTCGCAGTTGGCCAGGGCACGAGAGAGCGCGTACTCGCTCTTGGCAACAATAAACGCCGCGCGCAGGGCGCAGGGCGCAGGGCACAACGGACACAAGGCGCAACGGGCACAAGGCGCAACATGCAATTTGAGACTGTCTTAAAGCTCCCTCTACCCTCAATTGGCCCCAGCTACACTCGCGATCCAATAGAGGCAATCGTCAACAAGGGTCGCCCTGCAACGGGCAAGGCACAGCGCGCTTGCCAGCAGCGCCGCTATCGCGATGGTCTTCCAGAAGGAAAACAAGAACTCAATGACCAAGGCCGTGCCCTCAGGCCTCTTCTTGCTCTCGGTCGACCATGTAGAGACAGCAACAGAGACAGACACACAGACACACAAAAAGAGAAGAAAGAGAGAGAAGAGAGAAGAGGGAGAAGAGAGAAGAGGAAAGAGAGAGAGAGAATCAATTCGAATTCAAAGCTTTCAAAACATCAAGCAGCTTTTGGCTGTCGGGCGCTGCTGTGGCTTCCCCTCTCACACAATGCTCCATCGCCTCGATCAGCCTTGGCAGGCCCTTACGCGCGTCCTGCTCGTGCACCGTCGGATGCGCCGCCCTGTTACCATCACTGCGCACACTATTCAATGCATTGAAAAAGTCGTCCAAATTACCCAGTCGTGGGAGCACGTCAGCATACGCTTGGACTGCCCACTCCTGAAGGCCCGGCTTCCACTTGTAAAACAAGGTGTGGAAATCTTCTGTGTCTGCTGGACACCCCTTCTGCGGAACACGACCTCGGAAGCCATCGTCTTGCACCACCTGTGGGGTGGCCCAGTCCATGTACTTGAACAGCAGAGGAAGCAGGTGGATGTCATCGTCACACTGCCATGAACAGGAGTCACTCGGCCAAAAGCGCTCGCGCACGATTGTGGCGAGCTTGATGATGATTTGGCGCTTCAAGATGGGATACTTCAGCGTTTGCCGGATCGTTTGAAGCTCCGCCTGCACCTCCTCCATCTGTTGTGCGTGTTTGGTTTGCATTTGCTCGATCTGTTCCTCTTGTCGCTTGTTGACGGCTTGTTGTTCCTCCATCTGTCGCGCGTGTTTGGTTTCCATTTCTTGCAACTTACCGAGCATCTCGGCTCGAAAGGCAGCAGCAAACGGAAACTTGTCCAGCTCGCCTTCAATTGAATTCAGGCGATTCTCAGACCCGTCCATTTGAGCATGGGCCTCTTTGACCTTGGACCTTCTGCTCCAAGCATTCGTGTCACCGCTGGCGTCTGTCAAGGCGTGTTTA